ACAATAAATGAAAGCAAAAGACTGGCAAAGTAGATTAGGTACAAGTGTGCGTTACGATAATTGGAATTACAAAACTTGTACTCAAAATCGTGATAACGTGTAAAACAATATCGATTGTCTATGTTATTAACTACTGTCCCTTTTCGTTTCCTAATTTGTTAAGAATGTATCGTATAATATTTTGCCATAGTTTTTTTATAGGCTTGAAATTTATTGAAATCCAATTTAGTAACCCTGTGGTACAAATTATCGAACCGGTTGGCTAAATTGGACCGAAGCTCTGAACTCGTACTTTGTTGATTTGTGTTAAATATACAACAATCATGTTAATTAATACTTATGAAATAGTAAGTTGAATAATGTATCTTTTATTATATACCATGGACATTAGCAAAAACAAAAGAAAACTATGTGTATAATGGGATTGAAAAAAACTGGTCCAAATTAGCGGACTCTCCCTTATAATAGTGTTTAGAACTCGTAAAAAATAAAAAATTTAGCTCGATGCAAATTGTAAAGTTGCATAGAGCCCTTATAGGGCCGATTTTTCAATAGTCAGATTTTTAACTGAAGAATAAGTTTGGCATATTGACAGTTTCAGTATGGGAAATATTTCAAAATTACAAATTTATTCTTCAGTTAAAAGTTAACTGATGATTGAAAAATCAGCCCTTATAAAAAGGAGTACGGGAATATAATTTTAGTTCTTTTACTCTGCAATAGATGACGCTACTCGTCTTCATGCGAGTTAAGGACAAGCTGGACAAGTCTTATTGCGCCATCTAGCGACAAGTAGCAAAACTTGTATTCTTGTTGTTTATTTTTTTCACCATTATTTTCTTAAGTGAATGATTGATCTGTAAAAATATATTATTAATATGTACAACAGCTTACATCTACATTATTTTATGGATATGCCGAAAAAATATTTTTGTTTGACGACCAGCGCAGCGTGATATCGCGCTATGGGTCCAAGGTTCGATTCCTAGGTCCGATCAATTTAGAAAACGACCTATCTCACCCTTACTTAGAAGTTATACTCGTAAAGACTCAAAATAAGAATTTTCTTTTTATTAGATACAGTGAAATGATTAACAACATTATTAAACAGATAGTGACAACTTACAACAGTTGAAAACATTTTACTAACATTAAATGATGGTTTTTTAACTAGAGTTTACAAGGATGTTTTCATAATTTGACTTGAACAACTTGTAATCTTTTGTTTATTTTTTGGATTTTCCGTAATTGAACTTATTTAGGCCTATGAGATTAAAGTAAGCATAGCAAATCACAAAATAAGTTATTGTAATAAGTAATAGCTAAACTTGAACTATTTGCAAGCTCTCCCCACAATAGGTATTTTTTTAAAACCAAAAAATATGAAATCTTCAATAAGTACCATACTTACAAGAGCCTTGGCAGGCAAAATTACCTCAACAGCATATTTTGCTCTTGTGTACTTATAGGCGCTTTATGTAGGTTTCATCATGGTACTTCTATGACAACCATGGACAGGTGAATGGACTTACGGGACTATTCCCACCTCTCGTTCCCACCGCTGCAACTCCTGTGTAGCCAGGATCTACAGCTTGACCGCCAATAAAAGCCCAACCAGTGAAGGTCAAGTTTGTCCCCGGGGAAAGTTAAACTGTCATTGGACCCGCAACGAAATTAATCAGAAGAAAATAGGAGTAGTTTGAAGGAAAAAGACTTTCCTGTGTAGTATACTATTGTGTACTACAACCGCCTATAAAACTTTCAAACCCATAATAACGACGCAGACGCATCAAAATAACTTTTATATTATGTTCACGATACGTTTATGTAGGTACTCGTACTTATTCCTAAATTAAGTAAACATTTGTGACGCGTTCTGAATCATTAAACAAGTAATAGGCTAGGTAAAATACTGCCATAACGTAGAAAGGTTTTTCCATGATGCAAAATTTCATGGTTAGTTTTCACTTTTTTTTTCTTAAAAATTTTGAAAAATGTTTTAATAAGATCTCTCATCTTGGAATGGTAGTTCACAATAGTGACTATATTTTCGCTTTTCTACTAATGTAATAGAACAAAACACTGCACACACAGATATACCAGCCCACCTAAATTAAACAACGTAACATTCGTGAAAATTTTCAAATAATAAAATTATTGCACAAGTGGTTTTTGCCCGCGGCTTCACCCGCGTGAAATTTAGTTTGTCACAGATCGTTATAAATTATAGCCTAATAATGTTATTCTGGGTTATAAACAATAACACTGTAAAGTTTAATCAAAATCAATTCAGTACTTTTTGCGTGAAAGAGTATCAAGAAATAACAAACATCCAGACATCCAAACATTAGCATTTATAATATTAGTAAGATTCAAGATGCGCCTACGTTCCTTTTCATGCACATTTTGTGGTGCAATTGACTTGCATGTTCTGTCTAGATGGCGCTATACTACTCGTTCCTGTGGTTATTAGGTAGGTACAGTTTCTTTTATAAAATGCATAAACGAGTACTGCTTACAATGTGTGTTATTTTAACAATTTCATTGATCATAAAATTAAATAGTTCATATCAGAACTATGATATCAACTATGGAACAACCCAAGTAAATAGTAAAGCGGACCACTATCAGTAAAAATGACATCATTATTAATATTATTGCTTCCTCCGATAATGACATTCCAAATCTTACCTTATAAATATTATTGTCGCACTAAATAACCATAGTATAATGATTAGGTACTATAACCGTCATTCCTTCATTCCAACCACCATGAAACCACTAATGATCTGTAGGCCTAGGATGCGCGCCGTGATAAGCGTTTGTCACGGCATTTTATTGATTTTAATAAAGAAAGAAATATACATTTATTATAATGGACATCACACAAATACAGGCAATTACATAGACATGACAGTGGCATATAATAATGGAAGAAGAAAAAATAAAAACAAGAGTAAACTGAGCAGTGCCAGTGCCACGCATTTACCAACAAGATGCCCACTGCAACGGGACCCCAATCAGCATATGCCGTGGCCCACGGTGACGAAGGCCACGGCGCTGGTTTTCAGTGTGCCCCTAATTTTACGTAATAAGCCCATAGGTACATTTGTCTTGTAAAAACATCGATGAGATTTTATCACGGTGCGCATTCTAGCCCGGCTGGTCCGCGTAAGTATAGGTAATTTTTTTTCCTTATACACTCAGTATCAAATAAACCGCACCTCCCGCAACGCGAACTTTAAAGATTTTCTTCTGACACAATCATGGTGCCCCAACTCACCTCTGGGACCAATTATACCTATTTTTGTGGTTATAAAACCAAATAATGATCTTACGTGTCCTTTTTAACAGATGGATAGCGATTAAACCCAATTTAACAGTTTTATAGCAATAAAAGTTGGCTCAAGTAAAGACTCTGGATCCTTTTAAAAACACATTTTTGGAGTAAAACCTTTCCTTTAATGAAATGAAGTTTAGAATTAGGCTCTCAAATGCTACCTACCAATATAGGTGGGAAGTGGGGATGCATACGTTTAAAAGTGCTTGTTGCGGGAGGTGCGATTTATTTGATGCCGAGTGTACCTGCAATGTAATTCAGATCTTATCTCTGAAATCATAATAATTTGTGTATTGTGTGAAAACTATGTGGTATGTATGTATGTAGTCAGTAGCTGTTGTAGTCCATACATTTTGTTGCAATCTAGCTCCTATTACAACTAACATAAAACCCACATGGTGATTCGCTTGATGTGCTGTCGTCTGTACATTTAAAGTGAGTAATTTTCTAACGGCATGGCAATTTTCGTGGCAAATCGCTCAATTCTATTATTTCTGAAGGTTAAACCAGAACACAATCAATCTCACATTTACAATAACATAATTTCCCCTGCTCTTTCGTAACAGTAGTAAAGCAAGGGGCCTTGAAAGGTGATTTCTACTAAGTGTAACTTAAAATATGATACTTAGTAAGTTATTATAAACGTGAAGAATTAATTTTTCACTTAGGTCTACCTTCCCGATGGATGTACAACTATTTCAAGTAAGTAGGTATAAATCATACCGATAAAATCGTCCACCTTTTACTAAGTAAGCAGATGTTTTTTCGCCAACCAACAGACCAAGCTAAATCAAATTAGGCTCAAATTGAAGCATTTTAGCAATTTAGTCGGATTTTCAGAAGTAGTAGCACACACAGTGACAGTGGTAGAATTAATACTGGGACGTATAAAAGTGCTTTTTAAAAGTCTATTGAGTTATATAAGTTTTTATTTATCTGAAAGACGCATCTTAAGATGTGTCGAAAAAATGCTGAAAAAACTATTACATAACAATTTTCATATTTTCGTAATTTCGCGAGCAGCACAGGGTTTTCCGTATTCTTATCTACATTTATAGAAGGATAATTATATATTTTTCACTATTAGACTCCTACATTGTTTTTGATGAACACAGGAGGTTCGAAGTGCACCGGGTCTGCTAGTAAAATAATATAAGAATTCTGAACTTTTCACACAGTAAAATTTTTATGATGTTTTTCCTTTGTGTTTCAATTGAATGACCTAGAGTAGATACCTATTAATTAGTTTCCATTATAAAACGAGTAATAAAACATCAATGAATTTTAAATTATGGGGGCACCTTTATTTTTTTTTCCTGAAATGAGCCAGTTAATGGGTCAAAGTCTTTTTTATCCGTGCTAATGTAATGAATTCGTCATATTAACTACGAGTTATTAAAGCAAGAGTCAAATCTATTACTTTAATTATCTCTCTTTAATCAACTGCTAAACGTTATTGAAAATGATATCTTTATAAAGTAGGCAGGTACAACAACTTTAACTTGTTTCAGTTTTTTATGGACCACCAAGAGCTAATATTAATAACCGAGATGTTATTTTTTAATCACCAACTTGGTTTACATCGACCAAATTAATTCTCGTGTCAAGTAGGTATGAACTTGTTCGTAAAAGCTAACCTCTTGGAGGATCACAGTCTATATATAACCAGACAAAACGCACTTGTGTCCAGTCTCTCACGACCGGCGTTATTGGCGGTCACACTTCAAGTGACCTCTAAATAAGTGAGAATTTCTCAACTATGCATGGCTTAATCATCAGTGTTCTACTTTGCCTTATCGCACTCACAAGTGCGAGCGTCATCCCAAACAAATACAACGCGGAAAGAAACGAATTACTAACGCAAGAAGATGAACTCTTCCTCGGGGGAAAACTTAAACTCACAGAAGATGAAGAAAACGTCAACGATATCCTCATGCACTGGAAGAGAGAAGAGGTAGATGAATCCTTCGCGAACCCTGAGAACTACAACTTTTCCAAACATTTCTTCAGGTACAGAAACGACGTGAGCAAGTCCAAAGTGTACCAGATCATAAAGAAGATGCCGAAAGGCGCGGTGCTGCACGTGCATGCCAGCATGATGCTGGACACGGATTCTTTATTGAGACTGACGTACGAAGACCATTTGTACGCTTGTTACGGCGACGGCCATTTACAATTACGTTTCGCGGACACCGTTCCCGCACAATCATGCCCATTTAAGTGGGAGCTACTCAGTGATCTCAGAAATTCCTCAGGTGACGTCGAGGCATTCGACGCCGAACTAAGGAAACACCTTACTTTGTACACTGATGACAAGAAATTACAAGACTCAGATATCAACGACACCTGGAAGAGATTCGAGAAGGTCTACGATGTAGTGTCAGCCATCATTCACTACAGACCGGTCAGGGAGAAATTCATCTATGAATCTCTTAAATACTTCTACGACGACAATGTTATGTACGTCGAAATCAGGAGCGGGCTACATAACCTTTATGAGTTGGACGGAACTGTGCACGATCGAATGTACTTCGCTACTCTCTACGAGAAGGTAACCAACGAGTTCATACGGGATTACCCCGATTTTGTTGGAATAAAGTTTATATTAACATCTGGGCGTTGGAAGAGCCCGGAGATGGTCCGTAGAACATTGGAACTGGCCCGAAAATTGAAGGCGGAGAAGCCTAAATTCTTTGCGGGTTTCGATTTAGTCGGTCAGGAAGATTTGGGTAGACCATTATCTGATTTTCTGCCGGTTTTGATGGAAGCGAAGAAAGACATGGACTTTTTCTTTCATGGTGGAGAGACAAATTGGTTTGGAACTACGACTGATGAGAACTTAGTGGACGCAGTGCTGTTAGGATCAAAGAGGATAGGTCACGCGTATGCGCTGATCAAACATCCAGTTATATTGTCGGCTGTTAAGCAGAGGGACATTGCGCTTGAAGTGAATGTGATTTCTAATGTGGTGTTATCTTTGGTGCGTGATGTGCGGAACCATCCGTTGGCTTCTTATTTAGCTATGGGGTTGCCAGTGGTGTTATCAAGTGATGATCCTGGAGCATGGGAGGCTGATCCCTTGTCGCATGACTTTTACGTGGCTTTTGTTGGTATTGCCAGTAGACAAGGAGATTTGCGAATGCTGAAACAACTAGCCTTCAATTCTATAATATACAGTGCCTTAGATGACCACGGAAAGAATAGATTAATTAGTGTTTTCAACAAAAGGTGGAGTGAGTTTGTGAAGTACGTTTTGTCGCAACACTCATGGGCTTAAGGATAGTGAAAATTGTAAGTTATTAATAATTTTAGATGAGTAATCCGTAGATTTAAAGAGAGGAGCGAATTTATTTTTATAATGATTAGTTAAGTTCCTACTTTTATTGTAAATACTTTATTACCTACTAGGTTTACAAGGCTATGAAATAGTGTTATCTTCTGAATTTCAAGTTTAATTAATTGAAATGAACTTTTGTCTTAAGAAATCTTACCCTTAAGTGGCTTGATTGTGTATTGTATGTATGTATCTATGTTACGGTCAAAGTGATAAATGTGAAAATTATGAATAATCGCCGGTTATTATGAATAATCACCGCATGATTTGGTAAATGTGATTAATATGAGGTCATTTATGTGTGTATAAAACTAAATAGGCGGCTTAGGGGTGGCCCAAGGGCCACCCCAGCCGCACCTTAACCTATTTTTCACTTTAAATCAAAACATTATGTTATAGGCATCATGGAAAAGTAATATTATGCAAGAAACATTCCAAACTCATTATTCCAAATTATATTAATATATGATATCAAAACGTTCAAAAGTTTGGCTGTACACGAGCACGTACACAAGATGTTCTCTTTTATGAAATTTAGTACTAAGGTTGAATTATTAAATAATCACTGTTATATGTGATTAATTTATCACTTTAACCGGGACTGTCGGTAATTATTCATAATAACCGGTTATTATTAATAATTTTCAATTTATCACATTAACCGTAACATCTACACAAATTCCAGGAAATGCATGATTTATGCTTATTTTATAAAGGTTGTATGGGACTTTAGGCTAGATAGAAATAAGACTGCTTTAAAATTGTTAATAAGACTTCCCAATACCTAAGCATTTACGTTATTTATAATTACTTTGACCAATAAAACAATGACAATAAATACTTATGCTAACTACGATAATTGTATTATCTGCAATAGTTATCTAACTCATTTAAGACTTATTTATCTGATATTATCGGCATGATTAAACACGTTTAAATGGTATAATCCCGCATTTTTGTGAACTTTACTGTGAAGTATTAGAAGATATTTTGCAGCAGCAATTGAGCTGAGAAAAGACTATTCCCGCCTCTCGTTCCCACCGCTGCAACTCCTGTGTAGCCAGGATCTACAGCTTGACTGCCAATAAAAACCCAACCAGTAAAAGTCAAGTTTGTCCCGGAGGAAAGTTAAACTGTCGTTGGATCCGCAACAGGAGTTCGAAGTTTAACAGTGTATTTGTGTAATCTAATAAATCTTAGAACATTCCCACTTGACACCAATTAGCTTGAACACCTAATGGCTCTAAAACATGTGGGATGTGTGAACGTTTTAATTAGTCGATTTAAGATGACCGCGACGAAGAAGCGAGTAAACTGAAAATACAAACTTTTACTGCCACAACATAAAAGTTGATTCCTGAACCAAATTGAGTTGTGAAATTAAAGTTCAGTATTATTAGGACCGTTTTTTCAAACGTCATTCTTATAAATATTTACACAATAAGTGTGGCATAACAATTTCTGCATGGGAAATAATTGTCTTATCAATAGTTTTCTTGTAAAAATGAATGCTTATTTAGTTAAAAATTTACTCATTAAGGATGGATTACACCATCTTACTTTAACTTTAAAAAACAAAAAACACCGGTTATCGTTATAGTTACGGTCAAAGTTAGATGTTGCAACTCCGCCTAAGAGATAAATATTTATTGAAGCGAACTTATCGACGTCTAACAAAATGTTGTGGTTTTTTGTTAGTTTATAGGTCAGATGATAAATGATTCTGATCAAAGGCTTAGGTCGTTGACCTGGTGAATGGAATTGAATGTAAGAAAATCGGAATGAGGTCATTTATTTTATATCAGTGGTAATTTTTATAATTGAAGAGGTGCAGTGATGTGGAAAATTGACCTGCGTATAATTTTTTGAGTTTATTATTATTAAAAAACTTTAATTACACAAAAAAATGCAGTTTAAAAGGTCAACTTATTGCTTTATGGCAATTTCTGCCAGTTTGATATTTTGGATTCTTCAAAAGAAATATTTTGTTTATTTAAAACCTATTTCTAGATTGATCTTGCTTATAACATACTAGCTTTCCGCCCGCGGCTTCGCCCGCGTGGTATTTTGTCTGTCACAGAAAAACTTTATCTCGCGCGTCCCTGTTTCAAATACCGGGATAAAAACTATCCTATGTCCTTTCCCGGGACTCAAACTATCTCTATGCACAATTTCATCAAAATCGGTTCAGTGGTTTAGGCGTGAAAGCAAGACAGACAGACAGACAGAGCTACTTTCGCATTTATAATATTAGTGTAGATTCAACCAATGCAGAATTGCAAAAGTATAGGCTTACTTACGCATTGAATGGCACTTTACTACTACTTATTATAAATTTGGTCTATTTGCGAGTGAGATATGAAATTTTCCAAACTAGACTTATCGGGTTTTTCGAGGCAGCCAACAATTAAGGCGTGGATGTGAAATCGCGCGCGACTGTGAACATTAACGCTAGAAGCGCTACGGGCAAGCGTGCAGTCACTTCATCTGTGACTGACTTATACAGGGTGAAACAGTATGAATACTTATAAACTAAGTATTGGATGTAGTCAAATAGATATGGCACTAAATTTTTGTTAAGTACTTTATCTAAAGGTAAAGGACTAAAGGTAAATATGATTATAGAAGCACTAGCTTTCCGCCAACGTGGAATTTTTCGATTTTTTATTACCCTATGACACTCAGCAATAATGTGGCTTTCTATTGGTGAAAGAATTTTTAAAATCGGTTCAGTAGATCCCGAGATTACCCCTTACAATTTAACAAATATACAAACTCGCAAACTTTACCTCTTTATAATATTAGTATAGATAAAAGCCTCATCATCCAGTTAAAGTTAATTTCAACGGCAGCTTATTCTTAGTATTTATACTCGTATTATATTATTGACTAGTATCAAGCCTACAAGCTAAGTTTTACTAGCTTTTTCCATGTCTTCACCCGCGATTTGTCTTAGAAAGATTATAAAACGATGCTGCGCGCATATTTATCACTTTCGAACATAATTAGAAAGGTACCTACCAAAATAATTTGAATCGGTTCAATGGATGGTTTAATCATTATACCAGTTAACAGACAACGGCATAATAGCACTTTGCACTTTTTTTCCTATGCTAAACACCCTGTATAAAGTTGTGTCTTAATTAACACATCCTCGGATGAACACCGATTTATCGTCTGTTACGTTGCTTAAGGTCTGAAAAACAATTTAATGCTTTAATTTTTTCTATTTTTGACATAAAGCATGAGGTATTGAAAATTGAAATCATAACACAATGAAGTCTTTATGGTTCATTATATTATAGGTTTAAGGTCTTTATTAAATAAATCTCAAGAGTAGGAAGCAAAATTATTACTGAAGCCACTAAAATTACGAGTAAGTAGGTTAATGTTGAAATAAAACAAACATGACTTTGTTAAAAAGTTTTATTATTGTTATTCTTAAAGGACTGAGTGAGATGAATGATTTACAGTTGAAAGTGGCTATCTGTGCCCAAATCATAGGCGACTGCCAAAGCCAATAAAAATAAAATCTTTCTTCAACATGAGTTTTTGAAAACCACTCTAAGAAACTCCTCTTATAAAACTATCACTGGATCAAAATTCATGGCCGAATATTATCTACCATTTATCCTTAACGACCGAATCAATAAACTTCGTCCAACGTATTTCGAAGTCGTGGACAATCTTAACCTTATCTTTGACTGTGCTGTAATACAACGAGTTCAATGCCAGCTTCTTCAGGAGTTTCAAGTCGGCGTGTCTACTCGCAACCCCCACGAAAGTGACGTAAAAGTCGTGAGAAAGAGGATCTGCTTCCCAAACCCCAGGGTCATCGCTTGACAACACCACAGGTAAGTCCTGAGCCAAAAACGATGCCAAAGGATGATTCCTCACATCCTCAACCAACTTCAATACAGCATTTGACACAACATTCACCTCTAGAGCAATGTCCCTCTTCACTATTTCCTGAATCAAATATGGGTGTTTAGAAATAGCGAATCCGTGACCAATCCGCCGTGAACCCAACACAATCGCGTCGATTAAATTCTCATCAGTATCGGTTCCGTACCAATTTGTTTCACCGGCATGGAAAAAGAAATCCAACTCACTTTTAGCTTCAACCAGATCAGCTAGAAAATCTTTTGTCGGCATCCCCTTATCTTCTTGTCCGACCAAATCGAATCCAGCCAGGAAATCAGGCAGCCTCTTTTTTATTTCTTTGGCAATTTTGATGTATTCTCGAACTGTTTTAGCATCAACCATCCTGAACGGTGCGTAAATCAACTTAGCTCCATAGAAATCAGGATAATCACAAATAAACCTATCAACAACTTCCTTGTATGACACTGCAGTTTCCACCGAGTCATACACATTGCCATCCAAGTCGTAAAGCTGTGGCAAAACACTACGTATTTCAATGTACATTACACTGTCTTCTCGAACGGCCTTCAGCGTATCGTAAAAATATTGCTCCCATACTGGTTTATAGCTGAACAACGCACTCGTAGTAAAAAAATATTGTTGGAATTTTCCCCACGCAACATTAATGTCAGTATAAACTTCGGTTGGGTTATCGATAACTATAGTGAAATGTTTCCGCAACTCTGCGTCAAATTTTTCAACATTTCCAGATGAGTATCTGGCGTCTCTCATGAGCTGCCATTTTGTTCCGCAGGTTCCATCAGGGGTGTCTTTAGAGAATAGTAATCTGAGGTCATCTTCTTCGAAGCAAACATACAAATCGTCCCAGTAAGTTAGAGTTACAACATAATCCGGACTCAACAAGCCCGTGTCGTGTGCGTGAAGTATTGCTCCTTTAGGCATTTCCTTAATCAGTTTGAAGAGACTAGACTCTTTAACCACGTCTTTGTATTCAAAGAAATGTTTAGATACATTGAAGAGTTGAGGCTGAAGGAATCCTTGATCCAGCTCCCGCCTTTTCAGATCCATTATAATATCGTTTGCTTTTATTTCACTATCACTTAACTCTATTTCATGTCCTAACATCATGTCCAATTCGCGGTGTAAAATATCGTTTCTTTCTCTAACTACATTTTCGAGCAAGTCCGTTGACACTGCGGTGAACGAAACAAATGATAAACACAGTATTGTAGACCACATGGCACTGTTTATGAATTCAATTTGCACTATAACTTTATAAAAGGTTGTTTTTGGAGCGAGGTTGAGTCAGTAATGTTACTAGATACAAAACTTGAGGCAGGTGGGTGGAATTGAAAACGTTTTTTATCAATTGTAGATCGAGCAGTAATGATAATAGCCCACGCGCTGTCGAGGCGTTTGTTGATAAGATTCAATGATTAAATTGAATTGATCGAAATGACAATTGAATGTCTACGTGTAATGATTATTCTCCGACGTGTGCACTATTAGCAGAGTAGATGTTCTATGACCAAACTTGTTGATAACTATTTTGTTAGCACCCAGCATGGGAAAAACCACATAGGAAAGACTAATGGGGAAACGCTAATTTAAAAATTGATTATCGTAAGTTGCGCCTGTTTTAGCTGCAATTTTTTTTAATTATCGTATTCAAAACTAGGAAATACTAAGTTGAGATAGTATGTAAATAGTTCGAAGCTATAGGTGTTAAAAAGAAGAATTCTAAATTGTACTGTTAGTTCAATAAAATGGAAAAAAATACCTATTTTATATTAATAATAAGTTGAAGGCAAAATCTATTAACTATATCCACAGAATAAGTAATAGTAGGTATATCTAAAGCCCAAGCCGCCGTATCTAATAATAAATCGATTACTATAATAATCATAACGCACCAATTGTTGCCAAGTAATTATATTAGATATTCATAATCATAAATTAGTATAATAA